ACAACTACGTTTGAACTCCATAAATGTAAAATTGCATACAATGGTCAAAACAGACCATATGGACATCATACAGAAATTGCTAGAATTAGGATGACTCACCCATTTCCAGTTTGTCGCAGAAAAACATAATAAATCTGCTCAGATAGCATAGGAAAAAGAACTCAGGCATCATGTCTGACATTTTCTTTAGTTCACAAAGCATGATGGGAACATTAGCAGGAAAATCTCAACATATGTTTAATTAGGAAAAACAAAAAGAGGCTTTATTTATCATCATTATTGTTATTAAGTTTTTAGACTGATTCAAATTTGTTGTAGCATTAGTGCTAACTGACCCAACAATGACAAGTACCCTCATCAAGACACTTTGCTTTGAAAACCTGTGGACATGAGGAAATAATGTAAATAATTTCAGGTTATTCTCACTTTTTTTTTTATTGAAATGGTCCTGAAGCCTGCACAGTAGCACTTACTCATCAATTGGTGGGATATTTGAGTAGCCTTATTCAAACAGTGTCTCTGCTCTGCAGAAGTTGGACTCACTGACATTAGTACTACAGTTCAATTCACTGGGTTCAGCGTGAGATGAAAATGAAGATAAAACCTTGTTAAAATGAGATGAAATACATAAAATGGGGATCTAAAAGAAACTGACAAAGTAAAAGGTCTGAAACATAGACCTAGCAGTTACACTTCAGAAAGTACAGCATAGAAACCAGTCAAACAAAGGCACAGGAAAATAGCAGAGCTTTTAGTTGAGTGGCTGGAGTTGGTCCTTGGGAAGCTGGTTCCATCTGTGTGCAGCATCGTAGCTAAAAGCAGCTTCACCTTGTTTGGTTCTGACCTGAGGTTTTAATCAGCTGACTTTTTCCTAAGAGTCTCAGTGCTCTGCTGGGTTTGTAGTCTTCAAGGAGGTCAGAAAAATCAGTGAGCTCTCTGCAGCAAACACTGAGGGAACAATTAATGGTTGACTGCCCATATTAATCCTGGAACTGACACATTGCTTGTGATATTCGACTGAAAGGAACGTTAATGTTACATCTATATCCACAGTGATTCATGTTAAATCATCCTACTGTTTCATATGGCATGCTGCTGCATTTTTCTAGTGTGTTCCAGCATTATTTTATTTTTTTGGCATAATTCTCTGGATTGTAGATGAATTTGGGTCAAACCTTCCAAGAAGCACTAATACCAGATGACAGAGACAGAATGTTACTGACTGTAAGACGGTAGCTTATCAACAGTAGTGAAACACAACAAGTGGCTAATTCAACTCCTGAACAAGAGATATTTTGGCCAGTGGAGGAAAGTAGACTCCACAGATGCAGCACTTTAAGTAATTTCATATCCATTCATCTGTCTTTCACATTATTATTTAATTTTTGTTCGGCGATCTCATTATCAAATGTTACTTTTTATTTTGTTTTTCACCTGAAAAATATGTTGTCTGAATATTTTTCATCACAGTTTTTGTTGATGAAATTAAGCTTTGTCTTTAACCTTTTTTCTCTGTGTAGATAATGGGACATGGACTCAGCTGTGGCTGGTGTCAGATTATCATGAACACGGCTCTCTGTTTGACTACCTCTCCCTGTCTACAGCCAGCGGCCTTGCCCACCTCCACATGGAGATAGTGGGCACGCAAGGTGAGATACCAGACCTTTATGAGGATTCTTTTATAACCTTGTTAAACAATGTTTTCAATTTCCATGTCAGTATTTTTTTTGATTGGATTTTGATTTTTATCTCTGTAAAACCAAACTTGTGTGTAAAGATTCTAGAAATGTCCCAAGGAAGGACAGAATGTGCCAGAACTGTATTGGACTAACCAAACTGCTTAATAGGTGCAAGCTGCTGTTTAGCAGCATTCTGTACCCAGTACCAATACTCGGAGGCAGTGTGAAACAAAGCCAGTAAAAAGATGCAAACAGAGATGAACAAACTTGCTCTCTCTGCTGCAAACTGAGCTGAAACACATCCACTAGAGCTGAAAACCTGTCATTCAGAGTGAAATTTTCTAATTCCTCTGAAATGTTTGAATGTGAGGAAACGTCTGGAGAAAAACAAGAGACGGAACACTCAAGTATTGACTAAACTAGTGATAGACCACTTAATCCATTTGCTAATTAATTGGGCTCATATTTGGTGTTTTTATATAATTGGCATCAGTCTATGCTCACAAGGTCAGTAAACAAAAAATATGACATAAGCATTTTAGGCTTTTGTTCAAGGGTACTGCAGTCTAGTCCAACCAATTAGGCAAAGTGAAATGAGTCATTTACTCTACATTAAGGAGGTGCTGCTGTTGTTGTAATGTCCAGTGTTGTAGTCACTTGATCGTAGCAAGCTGCCTAGCCCTGGTGTGTCCTTATTTTGTGGTGGAAAAACATAACTTTTTCTTTGAATGTCCTAAAATGTCTGAAATATGATTTCAGTGATATCCTGTATATCGCTCAGAGAATTTCAGTTGTTCATATTAAGTTTCCATTAGTGGATGGCCTCTTGTTCTTTTGAGTACCTGACTCTCTGTCTCCAGGTAAGCCAGCTATTGCTCACAGAGACCTGAAGTCAAAGAATATTCTAGTGAAGAAGAATGGGACCTGCTGCATTGCCGACCTGGGTTTAGCTGTCCGCCATGACTCAGCCACTGACACCATCGATATTGCTCCAAACCACAGAGTGGGAACCAAAAGGTAACCTAGCCTTTTTAGAATGCAGACAGGTTGTTACCAGCTTTTTTTAGAAGCAGGTGAGGATTATGCATGCTCTGCTCCAGCTTGTTCTATATTCTCTGTGATTCTGTCAGGAGGTCACTGAAGTCGTCTGACTCACTATGACTACCGCCTTTTTAAGGGGGCACTGTGTACACAGCACAGAGCATCTGCCTTGATTAGCATTTTAGTTTAATTTAGACACAAGGGAGCACTGTTCAACTGGTCATAGCACAGTCCATTAGCACATGAGCACCAGCAAAGCTGCTCATTTGTCAAGACCAAGCTACCTTGGCCATGACTTGTGTTGACATAAGATAGCTGACCTTCTGAAAGCTAATTTTGCCTGCTGAATTGTAACATTGAGCGACAGTGAAAATATGCCGACACAATAACTACACTATGAGAATTCACGTCAGACACAGCTCTACCAGAAACTTAACAAAAGTTGTGGATCAAACAAAGCCACATTAAAATAAAAGTCAGGTTACTGGCTAATTGTATGCAAAGCTTATAAAATGATAGTGTTACCAAAGCCATACCAACAGGTGCTCCTTATGTCCTCCCTTTCTATCCAGCTATTAAATCTCCAGATTGGAGACTTTGGCATTCCCTTTGTGTCTCTGTCCATATGTCTCTTGTTATATTATGTAAATTTGTGTAGCCTCAGGGTTGGAAAGTGAGCAGTGCATTGAGACCATAGTATCACTCTATCCAGCTGTCTTCCCCTTCCTCCTCCCACTGTGATACCAGCAGTGCTGGACTGTTTTTCTTCTCTCCTCCTTTTCTGTTTCTTGTTTTTATCCTCCCCCTGCTTCCTCCTCTGCACGGTGCTTTGATGCTGCAGGTGTATTTTAGTGCTGCTAAATGATTCAGTGAGCTTAGGGTCAGTGGGAACAGAAGGTCTGGCACTGGCTGAAATTCATCAGCAAATGGTTACACTTTGTTAAAAAAAAGTGTAATTTTGTGTGGAATGTGAATGCATTGTGCTTTTTTTATTGAGGTGTCCCCTTGTAGCACCACTCAATAGTCTGTCCTGACAGTCTGGATCCTTAAACTGACTGACTGAACAATATCTCACCGAACCCCTCTGTTGTATGTAGTAAGAGCACCCTGTACTGCTTTGTGAGATATAGTTTGAGCTCAATTTCCTATTGAGGGTTTGCCTTCTTTTTGAGATACTGAGAGGTCAGAACATGTTGTACTTTTCTGTTTTATCTACCATATTACCACAAACCTGTCATGTGTCGTAGAATCGCCCAAATTCCTCCCTTGACTAGAAACAACATTGGCATTTGTTTTGTGCAAAATGATAAATTCAACTCATCACCGTCACACATGTTTTGCAGCTTGGTCTGTTTTATGTCATGGAAATGGCATTATCAGTTTGCTGACTATGGCACTTCTAACCCCTTGTGCAAAACGTGTGAAATTAAAATACTGCTTGAACGTTCGAGTTAATTTTTGAAGAAATAACAGTTCAACATTTTAAGAAATATGCTTATTCATTTTCTGGCATTGAGTTAGATGACAAGAACACTTTCACATCTTTTCAGCTGACAGAGGGCCTAGTGAGACTCGAAACAAACCGACACTGTGGGCTGCTCCTAACCGCTTTTTGCCCCTCCCATCACATCCCGGATTCCTGGTTGTGACAAACTGTACAAAATGCAGCCTCCAGTCTGAAGCTTGTATTAGCTGTCTGAGCAGCGAGTACCATAAATCTGGCATTCCACTAGCACGCTCTGGTTACTGCTAATGTGACACAAAACTGGAATTACTCTGAAATTAACATCAGATTGATTCACTGCAAAGCTAAAATCATGACTGTGCTAGGTTGCTACCAAAACAAACATGTTAGAAGGAAGAATGCTACATCTGAATCTGAGTCTGTTGGTTGCTTTTAACACTCTCCGTCCGGTTTCTACTCTTTCTCCATGCAAAAGGGCAGCCAGCCAGCATTTAGGGCTCTCAGCTGCCGAAGGATCCTCCACGGCTTACTGTTCAAAATGACTGCTCATACTTTGAAAAACACTTCATATAACCTTCACGGGGTGGCAGGCGGGGCTAATGTATGGACTGTATTTTGAGAATGCAATTTTGAACAACTGAAACAACAAGGAGGACTATAGGCAGCAGATGGTCAGAGACACCACACCTTCTCCCATTTCCACTTGATTTATTAACGGTGTGGCCACTTTGAATAACAGGCAGGAGGGTCCCGCCCTAGGTGGCTGGCTGTTAGCTGTCTAGCAAGCTCCCCTCACGCTCTAAGAAATACTACAACAGAGAATTGTGACTTTTGCACTTCAGTTTTTGTATGGGTGACAGATATAAGATATTAGTCAGTGAGCTTTAGAGGTGGTAGGCATATTTTTCTAAGCTGGCTGTTTTCTCCTTTTCCCATATGCTTTTACCAGAGTCAGCAAAAAGAGCACTATTGCCAGTGATTTAGTTGTGCATGGGTATGGTCCTTATCCAGACTCCCTTACCTCCTTGGTCTAAACACCAGGAGCTCCTGACTTTGAGGTTTTCCCAAGTTCCTGATGAAGTGTGCATTAATGCTAAAAACACATGTGGTAATGTAGTGCTGTGCTTTACAGCTACATATTATGCTCCAACAAACCTTTGCCATAAAGACTCCTTATTTTTCATTTTGTGGTGTATACCACCACCTGCTGGATGTTTTGTTAAACTCTCCTCTCATATCCAGCACTTACAAATTGCCAACTGATAACACTGCATTTAGACAATTTTCATACATAAATACATATTGCAGTTACAGAAGGAGCAGTATTTAAAGTTTGACTGTAAACACAAGTTTTCTTTTTAAATCAAATTCCCCCTCTCACCCCCCACTTTGGGGCGGTCTTGTATTCGTTCCTTCAAACTCGGGTCCTCTACCAGGGGCCTGGGAGCTTGAGGGTCCTGTGCAGTATCTTAGCTGTTCCTAGGACTGCACTCTTCTGGACAGAGATCTCAGATGTTGCTCCTGGGATCTGTTGGAGCCACTCACCCAGTTTTGGGGTCACAGCCCCCAATGTTCCTATTACCACAGGGACCACTTGTGCCTTCATCTTCCACATCTTTTCTAGCTCTTCTTTCAGCTCTTGGTATTTCTCAAGCTTCTCATGTTTCTTCTTCCTGATGTTGCCATCGCTTGGGATTGCTACATCTTTCACTATGGCCTTCTTGTTTTGTTTGTCCACCACTACTATGTCTGGTTGGTTGGCCATTACCAGTTTGTCTGTTTGTATATGGGAGTCCCACAGGATCTTAGCTTGGTCGTTCTCAACCACCTTTGGAGGTGTATCCCATTTTGACTTTGGGCCTTCCAGCCTGTACTCAGCACAGATGTTTCCGTACACTATGCCAGCCACTTGGTTATGGTGTTCCATGTATGCCCTGCCTGTTAGTATCTTACACCCCACTGTTATGTGCTGGATTGTCTCAGGGGCATCTTTGCACAGTCTGCACCTGGGGTCCTGTCTGGTATGGTAGACCCCTGTCTCTATTGATCTTGTACTTAGAGCTTGTTCTTGTGCTGCCAGGATTAGTGCCTCTGTGCTGTCTTTCAGTCCAGCTTTGTCCAGCCACTGGTAGGATTTTTCGATATCAGCCACTTCTACTATTTGACGGTGGTACATACCGTGCAGAGGTTTTTCCTTCCATGAGGGTTCCTGCTCTTCCTTCCTTTGTGCCTCTAGTTTTTGCTGCCTGAGGCATTCACTAAGCACGTCATCACTCGGGGCCATCTTCTTGATGTATTCATGGATCTTTGTTGTTTCATCCTGGATAGTGGCTCTGACGCTCACTAATCCTCGGCCTCTTTCCTTCTGCTTAGTGTACAGTCTCAGGATGCTGGACTTGGGGTGAAACCCGCCGTGCATTGTAAGGAGCTTCCTTGTCTTGATGTCAGTGGCCTCTATCTCCTTCTTTGGCCAGCTTAATTATGCCAGCGGGGTACCTGATGACCAGCAGGGCATAGGTGTTAATTGCCCGGACTTTGTTCTTTCTATTCAGCTGACTTCTCAGGACTTGCCTTACTCTCTGCAGGTACTTGGTGGTTGCTGCTTTCCTTGTGGCCTCTTCATGGTTCCCATTTGCCTGCGGGATCCCTTCTGGTAGTACAATCCCCCTCAGGCTAGTGGTTAAGGCGCAGCGCTTTCACCGCCACGGCCTGGGTTCTAATCAGGGAATGCGTCAGGAAGGGCATCCGGTGTAAAACACGTGCCAGATGTCAACATGCGAGTTGTTGGTGTGATGATTCGCTGTGGCGACCCTAAAAAAAACGGGAAAAGCCGAAAGTGACATTCATTCATTCATTATATATAATTTCAGTAACACCAAAAAACGTTACTGTCCAGTTCCTCCATCTAGCCCACACAATTTTTTTTAATTGTTTGTTGCAGTTTTTACAGTGGACCCATGATACACATCCCTCCAAACTTTCTGGGGTAGCAGGTTCCCTGCACCAGCCATACTTTCAAACAATCTGCTCTGGTCTTTTCTTTCCAGCATTTCAGTAAAAAAAAAACAGTACTATGCAAAAGGCATTGATGCTGTCTAGTTATTGTATAAAATGTAAATTGACCCAAAAGCTTCTGAATTGAGCTGCTAATTATGTGAACCATACAGGAAACACATATAAGCCTGTATATACAGGCTTGTAATTATTCAAGATCATCTTGTAACCATGCAATACAGCTAGTAACTTAGCAACCACTCACTAACTATCCTCCAATTCATTGTGGTAAACAGTGCTTATTTAGTCCTAATGAATCTCATAATCAGTTCTTACTTTGTATAATAAATGCACCAGATTTAATAAAGTGCAGCATGACCTGCTGTGAGTCACCAGAATTTCTCAACGCAGTGGAATTCAAAAACTATTTAATGAAAGGGAAGGGGGAAACAATTTAAGGGGTCAGTTAAATTTAAAAATTCATGTTATACATACAACCAAAAAAAGATTTTGTATTTCCATAAGTGGGGTAAAACTATGGAATAATTTAAGTGTGGACATAAAAAATAGTAATAGAATTGACGAGTTTAAACATAAATATAAAGGTATGTGTCAATCAAGATATATGCAAGAACAGGCTCAATGATTAATTAGATAGAACATTGTGGGTGTGGTGTATGAATGTTAATACTCTGTAATAATTCTTTAATATATTACTTGTGTGGTGTAGAAGAGAATTATTTATGTAGAGATACTGCTTGCAAACCAATGATGGTAAGATGATGTCATGGGGTAGGACTGGATAAGTCTGACTTCTTCCTACTCCATTCAAGCATGTACTAGGTATAAGCAAATTGATATTGGATTAGCATTTGTGGATATGTGTAAAATTATGTGTGTTGATATATCAACTGTCTTTACATGCTTGAAAGAATAAATAAATCAAAATCAAATCAAATGGGTCCATGTGGCTGTGATGATGCAAGATGACATCACCAACATGGGCCACTGAATGCGTTACCTGTCAGTCCATCTGGCTTCGTACCTACTCCTCTTGGTTTATTCAGTCACTGAGAAGATGAGATGGACCAGAAATAAAAGACACCAATAAATCTTTTTCTTTGGTCTGGCCCCGATGAACCAAGCTGTATGTCAAAATGACGTTAGCATAACTCGACCCATCTTGTACTCTGACTGTTACAGCGGTTTTCCAAGGAACATTGTAGGCATTGTAGTAAAAGCCCCTTTCTCAGTATTGTCTTAATTGTAGTAAGCACACAGATGTCTCTGGATGTCTGCCTTTTGGTCTAAAAGAATCATCTATTCAAGGTTATGCACTCCATTTGATAATGGTGTAATATTCCGGTCCTGGTTTTGTTCAAAAACTGTTCTTCAAAAGCCTTTCCTACAGACTCAAGATTCAAAAGCATTTTCTGTTTTGTTTTTTTACATGCTTAAAGCTTGCATTTTAAAGTGGTTGATTTTTCTACCTTGCTGTTGGTCACATAATTACATTTCCTCTGAATTCCTCCGAGTTTCCTGGAAAATAGGGTAACATAGATTATTTGAGTTTGTGACTTCATCATGTACAGTCAACCTTTTCAGCATGATGTCGATTAGTCACAGGCCATGTGATTTTCACTACAGAAAGTTGTACCTGATGTAGCGAAGGCTGTCGATGTGGCACAGTGAGTAGTAGACACTTTGGCCACATAGCAGGCAGCCAGTGAACTCCAAACTGACCGTAAGACAGGAGCAACAATTGTTCAAGCAGTCGTTAGATGTGCACTCTTGTCTTTGCTAATGAAACAGTCACCAAACCAAGTATCCGAAAGTCATGCGTCCCAGTGGGAGCTGATGGAACAGTAGCCTGGTCACCATCTGCGTAGGAACACAGCTGTATGCTGTTCCAGCGGGGTACCTGATGCTACATGCACATATGCAAAACCAGCCACTTAGTCATCACCCTGAAAGTCTTCACTTGTAAACTATGTTTCAAAACGCTTATGATGAAGCACAAATCTTAGGTTTATATGGCTTCTCCTCGTATATTTCGCCATCTTCTCCTCTTCTGATCCGTCAAGCAGCAATTTGTTCATGATTGCCAACTGGTGGTTGGGGAGAGATACTGTACCCACTTTAGCTGGTCCTGTGACAGTGACTCAACTCTAATAACAGAAATGTTGACTTTATAGTCAACTGCCCACAATTGGCAGTTCTGCAAACCCTAATATTGATGGTCCCTTTGTTTTCATCATGATGTTTTCCTCTTCCAATTTATCTGAAGCAGCAGCTGCAGTTTGCTAATGGGGGCAATCCATTCATTATTTGTACACCAATCAATTACAGAATGCAATTAAGACTTGCTCTTTTGTGCCAGAGTGGGCATTATTCGATTGCACTCATGAATCCATCTCATTACAGATTAATAGTGTGTGCCAGAAACTTGGTACATGTCAGTCTTCACAACAGTCTTTCCCCTAGAAATTTTTCTCAGCAGCAGTAATGTTGAGTGCAGACCTGTGTTCACACATGTTGGAAACATATCATGTGTGTTAAATTAGCGGGGCCTTTCTGGAGGCCCAGAAGGCTGTAGTTGTAAATGCTGAAGAATTAAATACCTCAACATAGAAACAGGAGTTTTACTGAGGCTGCAACCTAACACAACTGATGTGAGAGCACAATACAGTCCCTGGCAGGGTTGTCGCAGTAGTACACAGTACAATCCAATATTAGGAAAATACCAGTTTGTCCTGACTTGTGCTTGTACATCCCAGCTCTATACTGTTTGCCTGTAATCTCCACTGTGCTTCAGGTAATTATTTCAACAGTAAGTGCTTCTATATTTGAATAGTCTGATAACAACTGGCTATCTTTCTGCTTAGGTATATGGCCCCTGAGGTCCTGGATGACTCCATTAACATGAAACACTTTGAGTCCTTCAAGCGAGCTGACATCTATGCCATGGGGCTGGTGTTCTGGGAGATTGCCAGCCGCTGCTCTATGGGAGGTGAGGATCAGATGAGAGGGGGTGAAGGAGGGTGAATCACTGGCTAAATGAATGGGAAGTTGACTGATTAATAGAATGATGGGTGAATGGAGCAAGAGAGCTGAGAGTTTGTGGAAATATTGACACCTCTGCAAAGAGGTTTTGGAAATATTGGACCCCTTTGCAAGGCGGGGGGGGGGTTCATGATGAGACCGTGAATATATCGTCATGTATTTTGTAAACCTGCCTAAATGTAAAACCAGAGTATTTAAGCACATATTTTTCAGGCATCCATGAAGACTACCAGCTGCCCTACTACGACCTGGTTCAGTCAGATCCATCAGTGGAGGAGATGAGGAAAGTGGTTTGTGAGCAGAAACTTCGGCCCAACATTCCCAACCGCTGGCAGAGCTGTGAGGTAGGAACAATCTCAAGTAGCCAGAAGTTTTGTGTTAGTTTATGATTATTTTATTATTATTATTCTGCTTTGGCTGCAGTGTCAAAATGCCCACCAGGATCAGACCAAAACCCTGAACTAAAGTAAATGTAAGAGAAAAATGACACTGTTGGATTTTGGTGAACAGCTAAAAGATAATTGTCAGTGTAGATTTGAAAATGTTGTTTTCCCATGGTGTAAGCCAGTTGTATCCAGCAGTATGTGTGAACCTCAAAGCCCTGGAGTCCTTTTTTCATAACACTGCTCATTCATATGATACACATGGAAACACACTCATTACCACAGTCCCCAGAGAGGAAGCAACCATTCAGCTTGCTGGAGGAGCATGCATGTGTGTGTTGTATGTCCTGCAGTCTCTGGTTTCTGTTCAACTTTATCTGAGTACTTTTTAATTGACTGTATTTGTGCAATGTATGCACTGTATGTGTGGCCTCGTGCAGTGACGGTTGTCAGGCCACAGTCAGTGTGATCTAAATGATCTGTTCGGAGTTAATCCTGTTTTGTTTAGATTCTGGATTCTGAAATGTATGGATTTACTTTGAATGTGGTCCATGTTTCAACATTTTCTCTTAGACATCAATAGTTGTTAAAATGTCAAAGCTTTTTTAATGATCTGTTAATTAGAGTGGACAAGTTTATTCAAGAGCAAATGTGCACAAATTAGTTTATTCTTTTTTTCAGAGTTCAGATGCAGTTCATTCTTAATGAGTCAACTAAATTAGGTAAATTAGGCATATTGTTGTTTTATATTTCATGCACAGCTGAACCTAGCTATATACAATGATTTCACTTTTTGCGCAGTTTACTATGTTTTTAGATTCAATTTTAAATTGGTGAAATTGCCATCTTCACCCATCAGTCTATACTCACAACTAATCACAAAGTGTCATCAGTGAGATACTTTACAGATACAAATACAGATACTTTGATAAATAGACAGAAGTAACAGCTGTTCCACCCCTGGGTTCTACTGCTACAGGACAGTAAACTACGGCAGCTCGTCATTTTATCTTTCCTCATACACCACCACCAGATCAGCCTTTGTGGATCAATCCTATCTCCTCATGTTGTTCATACAGTCTACATCTGTATGAACAATCTAGCCAAACGGGTCTAGAGATAAGCACAGCAATGTCTAGATCAATTCATACAAAAAAGTCACTCATATTCACATAACACCAATGTCCAGTGATCCAAACACTGCAATAATGACACCTCCAGACAGACAAATAGATTTATTGAGTTCCAGCAGATGCAGATACATGAACTCAATCTATTATTAGCAAAAACACGTGAGTGATGGTACTGGTGTGGCACTCAGCCTCAGTGTGAACTTTTATTGCCTGTAGTTGAAGAACCCCAAGATGTGGTAGTTTTACTGCAACTGTGGTTCAGTGGGTAGGGCGGTTGTCTCCCAACCGGAGGTTCAAATCTCGGTGCCTGCAGTCCACCTGTTGAAGTGTCCTTGGGCAAGACACTGAACCCCCGATGGTTAGAGCCATCTGTGAGTTGGCGCCGCAGATGGCTGCCTCGGTCCTGTACCGGAAACAAATTCCTTGTGTGCGTGACATACTTGGCCAAAGAAAGATGACGATGATTACTGTAATTTGTCTTTTAATTACTGTTGCTTTGTTGATGCTCTTTTGCAGCATATTTTTGTAGCTAAAATGTTCTGTTGCTGTTCTTGGCATTAGTTTAACAATTGGCATTTCCAGGAGAGAGGTTTTTGTCAGTTAGCTCCACTGTTTAGTCATAAGTCCGAATGGCAGATTAAAGGAAATGAAGCTGTGGATAAACACATATGAGTTTGAACCCCTTTAAATAAGACTCGAGCTCCCTCTGCTGAAGGAGACACTATGCGTGTAGTGTACATGTCTTTATTACTTTGTGTTGATCATATTCTTTTCTGTGCCATCATTGTCAGGACATTTTAGCCGGTCCTCGCATCTTGAAAGAGCTGTTTGAAGGTTTAGGTCTGGGTTTAGCGTTCGGGTTCGGGTCAACCAAGTTGTGGTTATTGTTAAAGTTTAGGTCTTCCAGGAAACTAATGTAAGTCATTGTAAAGTCCCCAAACAAATGTGTGTGCGTATGCTGCAGACTGCTTGTCATTGACAATGTGGAGTTGGCTCTGATTCACATAATGATTGGAGGGATGGAATATCTGAGCAGTCTTAATGAGCACTGTAGGGAAGTTTCACAGATCATGCTCTAGCACCAGACTGATTCTGTGAGAGACTGACAAACACACACACACACACACACACCCAGACATGTTGACTCAAATATACCAGATGCTGTTTACAGTCCAGCCA